TATAAGATTTTGGCAACGCACTAACGGTAACGGCTCTTTGATTGCATCATCCGTTCGAAAAAGGATTTCTTTTGTATCTATTTCCATGCTTTCATACAAATTCAAATAATGACAGACAATTTGAATTGGACTATGAATTTCTCGAGAAATCTTCAAATTGCTTATATTCCAAGATAAATGTTCAGACAACAGAAATCCTACCATAGGGAGAGAACTACGTAAACGTTGTTCAGTAGTAGAGGCTATTTCGATAAAAATGTGTATAGGCGTTTCTGAGGATGGAAGACAAGCTATATTGTCATTTGTAGAAACTATGCCTAAGGTTAATAGCTCGAATAAAAACATATTGACATCTTCAGGATGGTCCGGCGATACTATATTTATATGTAGACTTTCTATGGGTAGAAGTTTACATTTTTTGAATTGATGTACAAGTCTATTATATTCAATACCATCGCTTATTAAAAAGCTATGCGTAATTTTCTTTTTCTTGTAGCTGCTTTCTTTAATCCATTCAGTTTTCCCTTGCCCGGATAAGTCGGATGAGACAGCTATAACATTTTTACATAAATTATGATAAATTTCTATCATTGTCTCGGTGGATAAACCGTTAGTTACGTGAACATCTAAGGAGAATTGATCCAAGATATGATGGTGCATACCAGCTTCTCTACAACAAATAAGTGCCAAAAGATATTTTCCCGTTTGATCTCGCATTGATTTAATTTGATTAACCAAACTATATTGTAATTCAAAGTCTAATAATTCTAGGTTTGCAATACAGAATAAGTGATTCTCATATCCATTATTTGAAGCAAAAAAACTTCTTTTAATGAAAATTGTGAACTCTTCAATCGTAGTTGAAGAAGTGCATATTAAAAGTTGCCATGGTTCCGGGTAAGATCCATGATTAGCAAACAACGACATGATGATATTTGAAACTAATGATGCGTTGTTGCAAGCCGCAACGAATAATTTACCCTTCGTAACGATATCCGACTTTACGTGTTGTCCAAGAGCTTTAAGCTTACGTGATTGTTTTGGAACATTTTTAAAAATTCTTTCTAATTCATTACCAATTACACAAAGAATTTCAAGATAATCATTAGATTCATGTGGTATCTTTTGGACACCCTCTCGAGGAGGTAACTGGGCTTTGCTGTTAACGAATCTAATCAATATTTTACATTCTTCATTATTTTCCTTATCTAACTTTTCTGATGTGAAATAATCATAGAATGCTAAAATGTGACGAGAAGAGAAGAATGTTAAATAATAACAAAACTCGTGTGCTTTATCCACTATTTCTTTCCTATAAATTTGTAAATTATAAAGCTCTTCAAAAATTCATAAATAAAATAAAAAGCATTCTAAAATTGAATATATTTACCATTCGTCAAGTTCATTTTTTAAACTTTTTAAGTAATTTATCATACTTTCTGTGCCATGTAATTTTTGTTCATATATTCTATAACCAAAATGTCCCATTTGGATCAATACTGATCCTACATTAAATATTTCTTGGGCGGTATCAACTTGGACAATAAAATCGTCTATAATGTTGGACATTTCCTCATCTTTATCATTTACTACACAATCATCATTTATCCTAACCGTAGTTTTTGGTGTGGCAATTAAAAGAGCTCCTCCACGTAAATCAAATATTTCATTTAAATTATACTGCATATTAGTTTTAGAGGTATATTCCAATATAACTTGACATTTATCTCCCTCCTTTTCATCGCGTTTAAAAGTATAAATTCCGTTTTTTACGGCATTCTTAATCTTTTCCTTAGTAACTTCTCCACGGTTCGAAATGTTATTGTACATGTTTTGTAATGCCATATTGCTATTACTACATAACGAGATCTTGTCTCCTAATGTGGGATTGGTCTTTATAACATTTAATAATACTTTCAAAACATCGGCAACAGTGTCCATATTTTTTTTCATGAGACACATTAAAAATTGCTTGACTTGAATAAGCGACGTTACCGTATCCTCTTGAATCAAATTTTCATCCGAGTGATCATCTACACCATTAATCAAATTCGTAATATCATGATCGGCAATATTCTTTAAGAAGTCGATAAAATTATCAGCATTTGATAATTCTGTTATCAATTTCCAACAATTTTCATTAACCGTAGAAAGGTTTTTATCTAAGAATTCAAAAATATTAATTATTTGCACAAGTTCCACGCCACAATCCTCATCTTTTAAAAGACGAATTGATTTCAATAGCCAATCTTCTTTCTCTTTATTACGTGGTACATTGAAAATATAAGCAACCTTTTCTAACTGTTCAAGTCGTTCAATCCAGTGAGGAATTTTTGATAGATGATCAAGTGTCTTTATAAATTTATCGGTTTGATGTTGATAACCCATTAATTCAAGTTCCTCATTAACGTTCATAACATTTTTCCAATACAAAGAAGTATCTGAACTTTTGAGTTTTTCCCAATCCCTAAATTGTTCAACTAAAGCATCGTATCTTTCAAAAACAATCGGCATCAATTTTTGCGCTATATACTCCACTTTGGTTGCAGCATCTTCCTCGTAACAAACTTCAAAGATATTTAAAAAAGTTTGAGATTGATGATATTTGTAACAACGTCTCGTGCTGTCTAACGTTTTTTCATGGAACGCCCAAAAATCTGGTGCAATTGCTTGATTCAAATTTACTCCATCTGAAAATTGCAATTGTTGTATATAATCATCTATATCATGAGCAGCCGAACAAAATCTTCCATAAAACTGGAAAAGCATATCGAATTGAAGTTGAAAACTATTACAAAACCCCCTAAGTTTCGCAATCTCGTCTCGAGAGACGATCACATCACTTAAATATCTCTTTTTGCCAACAGTTGCATCAAAATGAGAAAATAATTCATCATCGGAATATTTTAAAAGTTGTTGCAATAATCTTAT